GGAAAGAGAATGGGACCAAGGCACAAAGCAAAGCAGAGCCCTGAGAGATGGAGTGAGACATGGTTTTCTGTTTGAGCTCTGAATCTAGCCCTACCTGAAGCCAGTAATACCATTACACACCCCTTCTTGCTTCAGCTGGCTTGTGTGGGTTCCTATTACTTGTAATTAAACAGAAATGGAATGGAGTGTGCCAAACAGCAGGCTCTAGAATTTGGAGTTCACAGAACTAAAGCAAAATGGAGGCAGTGGGGATTTGATGACCCTTGGCTGAGAAGTTGAAAAACCGCATTATGTGGTATCAAATCAGCTGGTTAAATGGTCTTTTATTTTATCTTGAGATTTGGGTCATACATCCATCATAGATGGAGATTTCAGGGACACACTGGGTAGTTGTCTGAATGTTGGAGTATGCTGGCCTCTTCTCAAGATTTTCAACATGGTCCTGCAGTTCAGCTTTCTTCCATGCTAGCAGAACCATACTCAGCTTTGTGTAGAGTTGTCTTTCCTGCATGTGGCCAGCAAGCTAGACTGCCAAGGGTCGGATAGTCACACGTCTTGTAGCTTATGGAAGCCAGCTCCTCTTCCCCTAGCTGAAGTGAGTGAGGACAAAGGCATACAGGTAGGAAATCTGACAGGAGATACTGGAGCTTAAGGCCTGGGAAGTTCCAGCGAAAAAGCCTAATCCTCCAAGTCACACCTGAATGCTTCTTTTGTTTCTTCCCAAATTATATAATATTTATTTCACTTAGCATTCAGACAGTGCTGAGGGTTCTGGTGCCTGGGGACCTTGGCTATGAATCCTGTGGGAGACAGCGAGATGTATTAGTCACAAATCTCATGCTGTTTATTGGACTCCGTGGGCCACCTCCTCTTTTCTCTATCTTGGTTGGCACCCCACCTACGCCAAGTAGCCCCTCCATTTCCACATCTGTGGTAGAGATGCCACCTGCCATGGGATCTGACTTCCCAAGCAGACACCCAGAGGGCAGTGAGGCAACTCAGAAGTGGAGTTAGTGCACTCTGTGGGGTGCACCCTGGCCAGCGGAAAACGGGAGATGTGGGGAACAGGTAGATAAATTCTTTCTCAATTCTCTTCTTGGTGAACTGCTCCAAGGTGCGGTTTCCCCTTGCAAACACCACGAGCTTAGCAAACAACCCTGTCAGGTGACCTTCTCTGTCCTCCTGGCTCATGTGAAGCAGTGGCCAAGACAGTAATGCATCATCTTACATTCCTTCATGTCTTCCCTTGCCTCACATCTCTTCTCCCCTCTCACTGTGCTGGGTTCCCATCTCCTAAAAATGTTTGAGCACTTTACTCCTTGCCTTCAAGTCTGCTTTCTAGAGTGCTTGGGTTAAGACACAGAACCCCAATCGCTGCCCCCATCCCAACATTGGTCCCATCAGTAACAAGAAGGTCCTGAGGACACAACCGATTTTTCCTCTTCAAATGCAGGGAATCTAGCCCAGGCTGCTGGCTTCCTGTAACAGGTGCAGTGCCAAAAGTGCTGGGTCAGGGCATTTCTGGCCTACTCTATGGAAGATAAAGCCCATTTCACAGGCTCTCTTCAAGGTTCCTTGCATTTTCTTGTGGGCATCTAAGACATTTCTTGGGAAGTCAGACCCACACTTGCATTCTGCTCTGCCTTTGGGGTCTCTGTGCTCTTTGGCAACTACAGGGCAAGAGGCCAAAGCCTGGAAGTTCAAAGTCCCCTCTACAGATGACCAGTCAAAGGCTCTGATCAACCCAGGATGCTAGAGTGTGGAGAACATTGTAAGAGCAATGACAGAATCCAGGGCTGGGGAAAAAGAGAGGGGCGCTTGGCACAGACGTGGTCATCTCTTTGCAGACTGCACGTGGCTCAGGCAGCGAGGGCAGCTGCATGGCCTGCATTGGCTCTGAGCTCCCTGAGTCTAGGAGGTTCCTTCCTTTTTTGGCTCTTCCAAAGAACACAGGGCTGTGTAACATAGTGGTGCAAACGTATCAGTTGTGAGGGGAGGGCCAGAGACCTAAAGTAGCCTCTGAGTCCCTTCTGGATTTGTTCTTGTCAGGATGCACACAGGCGCAGTCAGGAAAGTGGATGCCCAAAGATTACAACCAAAGCTGGAAAGGATCAAGGAAGATTCTGTGATCCCTATGTCCTAAGCACCCCATTTTGAGGGTATTGCATGCATATCCTATTCCACTGGGGCAGAGGCGAGTCTCTAGGTCTGGTCAGAGCACACAGCAGATCCAGAGTGGCTTCCAAAGTCAGAGCTTATAAGTCCCATCTCTGACCAAAGGCCACTACATCTAAGACACCCAGAGAGAGAGATTCCAGGGGCCCTGCAGAAGGCTGAAGTCTCTGCCTACAGTCCTCAAGTTGTGCAAGTTCTCAAAAGGCCCCCAAATTTGGTGTCCACTGACAGACTCCCTTCCGGAGTGCTTTGGTGATGTGGCCTCAGTGTAATAATGGGCCACAGCCGGAGGGTGAGGAGTAGAGCAAACTGCCAGCTAGCCAGGATGAGTGCTTGTGTGGCTGCCTCACTCCTATCCTAAGCATCTCCTTGGGGCGGTGGCCTAGGAGCGACTGCCACGCAGGGATTTTGACTATCTGCTCAGGGCATGAGCCAGTCAAGTGTTGGGTAAGTAATCTCTCTCTGGGGGCACTGATCAGAATAAGGTTGATTTATCACCATAGATAAGACTGTTATGGAACCATGAAGCTGAGGGGGAGGGAAATGAGCAGTGTGACCTATTGCTAGAGATGGAAACCATAAGGGCCAGATCCAGGTTAAAGACAAGGACCCAGCAAGATTCTTGATGATGGTTACAAGGTCAGAGAGAGCCTGGAATCAAATCAATCATTCTGAAGGGCATTGTATGACCAGAGAACCTGCACACTTGGCAAACAGGGATCTGGGAATACGTAATCTCTAAGGCATCTTTAGGCTCAAAATTAGGTCCGAAGGAAAGAGCGATGCCTCGATTCCAGAAGGGTCATTTTCTCAGGAGTGTTCATAAAGGAGATAATTATTATAGGAAAGGACTAAAAGCAATCAGTTTTGTTGACCAAGAAACACTCTGCTGTCTAGAAGGAGATGCTATATGCTATAGATTAGTGATCATTGTTTTATCTTCTCCCCTATTTCAAATGGAAGGTATGTTTTTTCTAAAAAATGGTTATCTTTAGAGAATGCAAGAAAGCATTTAAAAAGTATGTATTAATTCTACACAATCTTACAGATTATTGTTAAAGTAACTGGAAAATAATATGTGTAGTATGATACTATTTTGTGTTAAAAATAAAAAGCAGACTATGCAGAGAAATGGTTATCCTATTTTCCTCCACTCTTTCATATTGGTTATGTAGGTATAGCTAAATTTATCTTTCAGCCATAGATTGCAAAATCATAACAAGTTATATCCAGACCCGATCAAGAATTGCACATCACAAAGGGACTTTGGACTAAGGACTCAATAAAGCTACTAGCCATGCTTCTGTTTTGTCTTCCATTGGGAAGTGGTGTGTTTTTTGTTGGGCCTTGCTAGGATTGTTGCATCTTTAGGGAGACACACTTTCAAAATTGTATGAGCATGTTTGTCAAGAAAAGTATAAGTGGATGCTGAGCAATAAAAGGGTGGAATGTAGTAGATGCATATTGCTTATCTGCCCATCACCCCTTCTGTTAGAGACCCATTTCTCCCCTCCACACAGTCCTGGGGAAGTTGTCAATTATGGTGGACTGCTCTTCCACCCTGGAGGTAGGCACGTTCTGGCCAAAGTTTTCCCTAGGACGTTAGAACTAGAGCTAGTGAGGCCAACATAAAAAAGGAAACAGAGCCAAGCGATGGAGACATCATCATTTGAACCCCTAGATCCAGTCATGTCTGAAGGCAGATACATCCTTTGATTTGCCAATTACATAAGCCAATTCATTTCCTATTGGCTTAAACATGCTTGAGTTTTTGACACTTGCAGCTGAAAGGGTTCAGACTAACATGCACACACAACAGACACACAAACACCATGTTGTTCAAACTCATTAGACATTCTACAATCTTTCATGAGCTTATAAGGGTCAGCAAACTTTTTATCTAAAGGATCAGATAAGAACTTTAGGCTTTGTGGGCCACTATGGTCTCGGTCTCATATTCCCTTTTGTTTGATTTTTAGAATCCTTCAAAAATGAAAGCGATTCTTAGTTTGTAGCCCATACAAAAACAGACTGCAGGCCAGAGTTGCCCACAGGCCATAGCTTGCTGACCCCTGGTCTTGACCTTGCCAACCCCTGCAGCATTGGCATAGTCTTCCAATCCCTAACCATGAAGCAAAATACTTTTAAATCCCATTTTGGCTCAGGTGTCTTAACATGGCTTGGTAATGAGTTAAGGCTAAGGGTAGAGTTAGGAATGGGAAAAGGGTCGCAGTATCCAGTATCTGCCACATAAGAGGCACTGAATAAATGGGAATCATGATTACTTCTTGGCAATAGAGATTATTTCTCAAAATGATGAAGCTGTCCAAATGGCTTTATCCAAATATCCCAGTTCCTCCTCAAAGACCCCTCCTTCCTTTCATTTCCTTCAGGAAACCTTTCTCTGATCTCCAGTCCAGTCTGAATTACCAATCTGAATTAGGCACTCTTCTTCTTGCAATAACAGACCCTGTGTGGTCTTCCATTATAACTACATGATTGGTCTGTCTTTCCTCCTGACTTTGAGTCCTTAGAACATGCCTGAGCCCCAGCTCCTAGCATGGTGCTTAGCACCTAGCACTGAGGGGGCCTCTATACCTCCATGTGAATATCTGTTTGAATGTGCAGGTGCTATATAGCTCCATCTTTGTCCAGGGTGGTTAGTCTATGTGTCAGCACTGTGCTGATGGACAGATGCCCTTGACACTCGTTCCTTTCTCAGTTGGAAATGATTAGTTGATATACACCACATCTTACCTGGTAATGTTATTACTGGATCTATTTTTCATCCCATTCCCTCCAAAAACGAGTCAAAGACAGAGGAACAGGTGGAAACAAGTTTTCTTAGAAACTGTCATGAAGGAGGAACTCTCCGACCCCACCCTTACATCCTTACTGTCTGATGTGCTATCAGATCCGAGGCCTCCAGCCTCAGTAACATCTGGGGATCAGAGTGCCCCCCACACGGCTGGGACCCCGAACTAGCTTGATCCATGTCTACGAGGTGGAGAACAAATTGTCCTCTGGGGAAAAAATATGTGCAAGGCCCTGCAGGCCCAGAAAAAGGCTGACCAAGGCAATGTGAGTCATGATGTTCTAAGCGGAAATCTTTTGCCCATCTCACAGAAGCAGGCAGAAAGCACCACCATTGATCAGCTTTATATGGCACCCACTGTATACAACAGACAGACAAAGACAGACAGACAGAGCACACGCCACTTCTAAGCTGAACACTGCTCACCATCTAGAAGCACCTTGGATAAGCACATGTGAGACACTTTGCATAGGAAAGGTGTACTTTTTAAAGGAATGAAGAAGTATTTTGGCAAAACATCTACTTCCCTCCCAGGTCCTGGGTAAAGAGGGACCTCTAAATTCTGAAGCTTCTACATATTGAAAATTATCCCCTTCTCAATGGCAGTATATACAGTAGCAAACCTTCCAAGTCTGTTGTCACAGCCCTCTCCATATATCCTGAATCTACTTTACAGGTGGGCAAACTTAGACTTAGAGACAGAAGGTGGCCTGGAGCGAGGGGACACTGGGACTGGCTCAAGGTGAGGCGGACACATGAGGTGTCTCAGCTCAGCCAAAGGCAGGGCCTCTGTCTATCGGGAAGGGGAAGGGAAAGGCTAGGGTGGCCTTAACTCCCTCTTTCTTCCTGCCTGGGGAAGCAGTGGTTCCACGGGAAAGGCTGGAAAGGTAGGTTCCCACTCCTGCTAGCTGGGGGGCCTGTCTAGGTGGCAGAGGCCACAGCGGCAGGTGCTCCCCCCGAGGCCTCCTCAGGGATGCTCTCGGACTTTGGGGATCGTGGGCTCACTGCTTCCGTAACTCTCTTGTTACCTGCATCTGAGCCTAGACCTCAAGTCCTTAATTACCTTTAAAAGGCAGGGAGGGGAGATGGTTTAAGAGAGAATGAGACATAGAACAATCTTTCCACAGCCCCCTTCTGCCTAGGCTGGGACTTTTAAAGGTCTCCTTCACCCTGTCTCCTAGCGATAGTTAAAGGCAGCTTTTATGAGACGCTATACTGTCTTTTGTGAGTTTTTTTGTTTGTTTTTTTCTTTGTTTTAATTTATATATATATATATATATATATTCTTAAAAAAGCAATAGTCCTTTGGTCCCTAAACTCTAAGGAATGATATGATTTTGAAAGAAGTAAATCTGGGCTTCCCTTGCGGAGAAGCCCTTGGCACCCCCAAGGGGCCCTGCTGGTTCCCCTAGACAGTCAGTCCTCAGCCAGCCCCAGCTGCCTTGCCACACTGAGCTCTACACCACAGGCATAGAACAACCCACTTGATGAAAACAATCCTTCAAGTGGCCTGAGCCCCAGGCGCCGGCCTTGGGTCCAATCCACCTCCGGCTGCGGCTGCTCCTTCAAGAAGGGCTGCTCAAGAGCTTCTGTGCTTTTCCTTTCCTTTCTTCTCACTCTTCGGTTATCTGTTGTTGGTATTAATTGATAAAGGGGTAGGGGGAGGCAAAAATCACTCTGGAGGGCAAGACAACAAGAGCAGTTTGCCCCATCAATGACATCTTAGATGAGTGGCTGGGCCTCTTTTCCAGGGGAGCAGAGCTATGGCAGGGCCAAGGCAGCAGCCTGATCCACTGAAGCCAGACTCTGGGTCCTCAGCAGATGACCCCAGCACAGCACCCACCCCAGAGGGCTCCTGGGGTAGCTCAAGTGAGGCAGGCCCATGAGGATCTTCTGAGATAGCAAATCTCTAAAAGTCATAGGCAGCCAGAAACCTAACAGCCTGGCATCTCCCTCCCCATCACCAACCAGGCCCTGCAGGTCCTGCTTCTTCAGCATACTTGCATCTCTCCTCGTCTCTGTGTTCACTGCCACTACCCAGCCCTTACACCGTGTCCTTTCTTTGCCTAAAATCCTCATGGTTCTCTACCATCTTCAGGATACAGTCCAAACTCATGGCCTTTAAGGCCCTTCACAAGCTGGCCTAAATCTACTTTTCTAGTCTCATCCTCCATCCCTCTGCCCTCCCTCAACATGAGTTCTCATTCCCACGGCCCCCTGTGGCTATCTCTGGAGTAGAACTAGCTGATTGGATCTTGCTGTTAATTGTCTCTCCCAGACTATGGGGACAGGAATGTTGCCTAATTTATCTCAGTCCTTGGATTAAAGGAAAAACACAGTCTCCAACTAAGGGTTCCTCCTAAATTCCTGGTTCTTCTCTCCCAGACTTTTTCAGAGATGGGTGCCCCAACGTCCCAAAAAGAGCATCAGAGGGGAGAGGGCCTCCATCACTCAGGCCCCATCTGCCTGGGGTCCACCAAGGACTCACCTTTCTGTGGCTGATCAGTGAGAGCAGATCAGTAAGGCCGGTTGGCATCCTTGGGCCTCTTTAGTTGGACCTTGAGCCTCTTCATGCCAATTTGAAAGCCATTCATGGCCTGAATAGCTGTCTGGGCACTGGTTGGATTGTCAAAGCTAACAAACCCTGAGGGGTGTGGGCAGAGGTTAGCTGGGAACTCTGCTTGGCAGGGCCTCCTTTCTCTCTGACCAGCCCCCTCTTCTCCTTGCCCCCTCAGGTCAGTTCCAGCAAACATACATCCTTCCACCTTCCATTGTTTGCATGTTCAAACACACGGACACATGCTCATACTTACATGGACAAATGGCCTGAGTTTCCTAAAAGTGTGATTCTTGGAAGGCCAGGAAGCAATTCTGGGTTTGTGTATTGGTTGGGGAGTTCCCCTGTCTTTCCGTAGCATGGGTTGACTCCCTCCCTCCACAGCTCCCATTTTGGTCCTCTGAACTGCAGTTGGAGTTGGAGGAGATCTCTGGTCCCAGATCCAGACTCCTCCTGCCCTGGCTAGACTTTAAAGTCTGACGTGGTCGAACATCTTCCAGACACCTGATCTTCTCAGATGATCCTAAACTAGACTTGTTCCTGGTCTGGGCTGAGCCTCGTCTTTGGTCTGTGACCCTGCTTTGTGCCATATACTCAGTCTCTGGGAGTCATTGACTTATGGAGGGACAATCTTAGGGTCTGTAGGGAATCTCAAGGTTGGGGGTGGGAGAGGCCCAGGGCTGGGGCACAGCTCACCAAAACACTTGCTCTGGTTGGTGGCTCGATCCACAAAGACTTTGGCAGAGACAACGGCTCCAAAGGGCAGGAATGTCTGTATGAGTTCTGCATCACCAAACTCCTGAGGCAGGTGATAGATGAAGAGGTTACAGCCTTCGGGGCCTGCAGGAACAGTAGCAGGCTGGTTCATGGGGAGGGACCCTGAGTCCAGCCCCACCAGGCTCTGATCTCCAGCCCCCTGTCCCTCACCTTCTCTTTGCTGCTGGGGCAGGGCTGAAGGCTGCTGGGGAAAAGCTGTGCTCACTGGGGCATAGGCCGACGGATAGGCTGCTGGAGACAGAGGTGGGAGTGGGCAGTGAACCCCAGGAGCCATCTCTGAAGCAGGGCCCCATCTGCCTGGCCACCTTTGACCAATTCATTCCAGTCCATGGTAACCCTCACCCCTAGAGAGGTCGTTCTGGGCCCAGGGGTAGAAGGATGAGAGGGTCAACTCCTCAGAAGAGAGCCTACACCCCACCCCACCCCACCCCCAATTTCCCTAGTCCTTTCTGGGGCCCTTCAACCCCCACCCCAGGCCTCTAGCGCCCAGTGAAACCTGCGTAGTGGTGCATCCCAGCGTAGGCCTGCTGCAGGGGGTCAGCCACGCCGGGGCTCTGGGCTGGGGAGAGAGGGACGCGGGCCACGGTGAAGGCGGGCTGGCGAGCAGGGCGGAATGAGAGGCAGCAGGTAGCAAGGAGAAGTCCCTTCCCAGGGAATCCGCCCCACCCAATCCCCCCGCTCCCCACTCCATTTCGGGGAGATTTGGGCGGAGCGGGGGGCCCACCTGGGTAAGGGGAGAGCCCGCTATTGTAGAGAGTGTCGGAGCCCGGCTGCCCGTTGGTCTGGGGGGTCAGGGGGCCAAATCCATTGACCCCGATGGGCGCCGGGAGAGCGGGAAGCGTGCCAGGGCCACCGCCCGGAGGGGAGTTGGCTGCTGGTGGCGGAGGAGGTCGCAGAGTCAGGACGCAACCCGGCTCCGGGTCCCCTACCAGACGCTGCCCGGCTCCTGGCCCCTCCCAGTCCACCCTGCTCCTGCGCGCAGTACCTGCAGCGGGCAGCAGCGGCGCCGCTACTAGGCTGAAGGCCGCCACGTGCTGCATTTGTGCCGCCACTGCGGCCACCGGGCCTAGACCAGGGCCCTGTGCCGCCGCCAGCAGGGCCGCCTGGTGCTGCAGGATCTTTGAGAGGGAAGAAGGGCGGGTGTGGAGGGCCCAGCGGCCAGTAGCTGCTCCGGCTCCCGACCCCCTGCCTAACCCACCCGCCTGCCCGCCGCGCCCGCGGAGGCCCGGCACCTACCGCCGTGGTGTAGGCTCCGCAGGCGCCGAGCGGCAGTGGTGCCGGGTGGAAGGCACCCAACTGGCCCGCCATCTGCTGCATCCGCCGCAGCGCGCGCTCCCTGTCAGTGTCCGCCAGCTTGACCACGAGGCTGGACGAGGCGCCCTGGGTAGGGCAGGGAAAGCCACCGTGACTGGTCCAGACCCCAGCTCTAGCCCTGGGCTGAGCACCTTGCCCATCAGGCCCTTTCCTGGGGCACTGATCATATGTGCGGAGGAGGAGCCCGTCCCCACCCCACTGGTCTCCCCCTCGGCCCCCGCGCCCGCCCTCACCGCCATGGTCCGGCTGCCGTGCAGACTCTGGATGGCCGCCTGAGCTTCCCCCTGACTCCCAAACTTCACAAAGGCACAGCCTGGGGCAGGATAGAGGGATTGGGTGGCTCAGGCCACAGGGGCCAAAGGGTCATGTAGCCCAGAGTGAGTCAGGGTCGCCAGAAAATCCCAGGGTCAGCTCAAGTCACCTTTACTGGTGCCATCCGGGCTCCGCAAGACAGTGCACTCCTCGATATGGCCGAAGGGCTGGAACAGACGTCTGACGTCCTCCTCACCCTGCTGCTTCCCCAGCATCCCCACAAACAGCTTTCGGTCCTCTGGGGACAAATCCAGCAGTGACCTGGGGACCCTAAGTCCTCTTGGACTCCCCAGAGTAGCCAGAGGAACTTAAGAAGGTAGCGCACCACAGTCTAGCTTTGGGAAGAGATTTAGGGAGTGAGAAGGTCCTGGGGCTACAAGGTTGGGTTTCTTGCAGGGGCAGGACCACCTACAGACACATCTGGAGAAAAGAAACTCAACCCAGATTTCCATCAGGAAAACCCAGATCCTGGAAAAACCCAGAAAGACCCACTGCTGTTCTGTGGAAAGTGATTCAGTTGATATCTTTGGTTGGATAGAGCCCTATATATGTCTTTTATATGTCTGACCTTTCTGTTCTTAGAGTTTGGGAAAGGCTATTTTGGACTATTTCCACCCTATTAAGGTTGGGGATCCTCAGAGAAGGTCTTCGTATTCAGACTGGGTCTGAAGAAGAGAAGTACATCGTTGCTAGTCAGCCTGATTGTAGTGGCTAGAATCAGTGCCCCTTCCTGCTCAAATTAAGAAGTATTCTGTGTCAAAAAGCAGCACCGAAGCAGTTGTCTCAGCATACTGCCTCATCCCCAGACACTGAGCTCTGGAATGATGACTCCCCACCCCTAGTACCAAACTCAACCTGGGTGTCCCCCACCTCCCAAAGGCTGAAAGAGGGCAGGAAGCTTGGGTTCCTGAGCCTCCAGCATTAGCATTTTCCCCACTACACTTGCTGAATCTCTGACCCCTTTCCTTACCTCCCACCTCCACCGCCTCCTTCCCTCATTGAGCTGCCAGGGCCCTCATGAAGCCCTGCTGCCTCCTTTTCTGACTTCCCCAGCCCTAATCCCTCTCCAGGTGTTCATGCTATGGGAGAACAAGTTCTGCCTGTAGACCTGGAAGGCCACTTGAGAACAAGTCTGATCCCTCATTGTGTCCACCCCTCCTCTGGGAGTGGTACAGATTCCAGGCAAGGGGCTGCAAGCTGGGCCTGTGTCCTTTGGGGAAAGCTGGAGAGCTGGGGCTGGAGACCAGGTCTCAGCTGCACATGCAGCAAGTCGGGCCTCAGAAGCACTATCCAAGAGCCTGAGGTAGAGGGGCCCAGGCCACAGGGCCCGCTGGCAAAGCCCTGCTCCTTTCTGTACCAAGGTAAGTATCTGAATTTGGTATGGGGCTTTATTTGGGTGATACAAGTTCAGAGAGAATTGGGTGGGAATCTGGCTTCAGGCTTCACCTTTGAGATCCTGGAGCCGAAGAAAACTCATTCCAAACTTTTTTGTACTCCTTTATAAGCTTGGCTAGGCCGATGGGGGAATCTTGGATCCTGAGTGCAATGGAGCAAGGTTGGCAAGGGTCATAGACTGAAGCCTGGGTGATAGTGAAAAGGAAGAACAGACTGTCCAAAGTTAGTAGTGGAGGGAATCTCCAACAAGGCTATGTGTGTGTCCATATTTCACCTGGATGGCGTGGGGCTCAGCCTAGGCTACCCTGGGTACCCTGAGGTGTCTGTCTGTCAATGCTGTGTCTGTGTGGCGTGCGGGGCTGCAGTTTATATGGGACAGGCATAGTGTGTTTCAGCAGAATCTATCCAGAGGATTACTGCCCAGCAGTCCTAAGTGGGGAAGGGTGGGTAATGTCTTGGTGGCTGGAATTCTGGAGGAGGTGTCGACATTCTATGGTGAGAATACAATCTGGTGGATGTGCTTCATTTCTTGGAGTGTTAGCCACAAAATAGTGCCCTTGGAACAGATCACTGGTGTCCCAACCTTTTAAAAAAGCTGTGGAACCCATTGTTTTAACAAAAATATTAGGATGAAGCTGAAAATGTGAGAGAAAAGCAGAACTGCTCTGACTGAAGTCAGTGAAGTGTGGGGTATGTGTGTTGCTGGAGTTCCTCTTGCTTCATCTGCCCCTGGTACCCCCTCGATGGGGCTCCAAGGAAAGTCTTTTTGAAAACCACAGACCTAAAAGATTGGGAATAGAGTTTCAGGAACCTGAGAAGACAGGAAAGGTCTTTCATGAATCTCTTGACTAGTATGATGATGGCTTTACCTTGACATTGGAGGACAGACTTCATTTGGTCAGGAAATCAAACCCTAGAAGACTGTGTCTTTGTTCTGAGCTATGACACTAAAGAATGCCCACTTGGCTGCAGAAAGCCCAGGAGGGGCTGGAGAAGATCCTAGGGCTTCCAGAGTCCCAAGGCTTAAAAGGGGCTTCATGATGCCTAATTTATAGTGCATCTGTGTCATTGGGTAGGGTCTACAAGATGGTGATGGTACCTAGGTAAGATGGCATGCCACATGGACCAGCATCCAGGTAGCCCTAGGTAGAAGACAGGCATCAAAGCTGAGATAGAGCCCGCAGGACGGAAAAGAGGGTTGTGTGGACAGTGGTCTGATCCTTCATCTGCTCTTCCTCCTGTTGCTCTTTAGTGCTGATGCTTGTCAGTTCAAGGTCATGTCACAAACCATGAAATTCTGTGATCCTCCTTTTGCAGTAAGAATCTCCCAAGTTATGAATTTCCATTTCTGTGATAAGGCATGGACCCTATGGTTCTGGGCTATAGGGCTGTACAGAATTTGAAATGGAAATGAGGCCAGAGTGTGGGCTGGGCTCTGTGCTGCCCATTTCCCAGGTATCACCTTGAATCCTGGTATCCTCTTTGCCATTGGACCTTAATGGTGTTTGACAAGAAGATGACCTGGGTCAGTGACCTTAAGCCTCAGGTGATACGGAAGTGGTGGGATACATTTCTTAAGAGACTTGGTGAAAGAGAAGTACAGGCTAGATCCCTGAGAGTAACCCCCAAATCCACAGCCTTGAATATTTGGAGGGCTGATCAATGTCCCCAGGGAGAGATGATGATGGAATTTAGTTCAGATAATTCAATTTCCTATAGGTCAAACTCTACCAGTTGGTAAAAAAGAGGAGTCTGTAAGAGGTAGGTCAGAAATGTCTAAATAAAAGCATCCCATGGGTGGCGAGTGGGTCCCTAGAAATGTGGGAATATCAAACAAGGAGGTTCAACTTTCCTGAAGTGGGAGGACTTGGAAGAAGATAGCATCAGTGGCTTTAAGACATAGCAGGAAAGATACATGGTTGAATGGTATAACTGCATTTTTCTGTTGGCAACTGATGTGTGCTCCTTGCTCTTCTACCAAGTGCTTTTTGTGGGCCCAAACCAAGTTGTTTGGGCCCCAGAGGCCCATATCTATGAAGCTGCCTTGTGCATCTGGTCATACAGGTCAGGGATGCTAATGCTGCAAATGATGGGGTTTGGACGCATAGCTAACCCTAGTTAAGACAAATGATGGCTCAGAGTCAGAGTCAGTCCACTTCATCTTCTCCAGGAATGGCACCAAGATGCTATTCAAGAAAGGAGTTTCTGACTCAAGTTGGCCCAGAGGATTTCTTGAGGTACTCAAGTTTTTGGCTTCTAGGTCCCTCCCACCCACTCATCTCAATGTTGGTGGGATGTCATGATTATAGGCATAGTGTAGAGGCAAGGTTTCAGCATTGGGGTACCAACCATCAAACACATCCTCAAAATACTGGGCCACCTTTCCTTCAAATACCAACCCAGGAGTTCCTGCTGGTGGCAGCATTTGGAGCAAAGCATCTCTCCCCAGATGTTCTTAGTGATGCTGGAAACATAAGAATCCAAGGAAGACTGGGAACTTGAGTGAGGTTATGTCCAGGGCAAACAGAATCTCCTGGCCAGATATAATGACCTTCAAGAAGGGCTTTAATCACACACACACACACACACACACACACACACACACAGCTGTTAGAACTAATAAACATATTTACTGAAGTTGAAGAACACAAAATCAACAAACAAAAGTCAGTTGTGTTTCTATACACCAGCAGTGAATAATCTGAAAAGGAAATTAAGAAAATAATTTCACTTATAATAGCATCAAAGTAAAAGAAAATATTTAGGAACAAACTTAACCAAGGAGGCAAAAGAAAACTACAAAACATTGCTGAAAGAAATTAAAGAAGACACAAATAAATGGAAGGCATCCTGTGTTCATGGATTGAAAGACTTAATATTGTTAGGTGTCAATACTACCCCAAACAATCTATAGATTTAATGCAATTCCTATCAAAATCCCAATGGCATGTCTTGCAGAAAAAGAAAAAAACCATTCTAAAGTTCACGTGGTATCTCAAAAGACGCTGAATAGCCAAAACAATCTTGAAAAAGTACAAAGTTGGAGGTCTCACACTTCCTAGCTTTAAAACTCATTACAAAGCTACAGTAATCAAACAGTGTGGTACTGGCATAAAGACAGACATACAGACCAGTGAAATAGACTAAAGAGTCCAGAAATAAGCCCTTGTACATATGATTAAAAGATTTTTGACAAGAGTACCAGTCTTTTCAAGAAATGGTGCTGAGTAAACTGGATATCTACATGCAAAAAAATGAAATTGGGCCCCTACCTCAAATCACATACAAAAATTAACTGAAAATGGGTCAAAGACCTAAACATAAGTGCTGAAACTGTAAAACCCTTACAAGTAAACATAGGGGGAAA